GCAACAAGGCGCGGGTTTTCATAAACAAAGACAGACCGCCGCAATGAAGCTATACATCCACTGACTCTGGACGCAAATAATACTAGAGCACCTTTGATAACCTCAGCTATCTGTGCAATCAGACCAACATGAAGACATTAACTACTTGCTACGGGAACAATCTTAAACCTATGATTACGTAATAAATGCGATCTCCTCTGCTGTGGGACTTATAGATAACACTTTGTCATAACCCTAAGGATAGGGTGTGGACTAAAAATGGCTATATTACTAAGTACAAGCTCAGAGCGGCATTCTGAAGAGCACACACAGGAGTCAAACGATGAAGTGAGGAGAGGAGGGGTTGACGCGGCTGATCAGATAAATTTTTTGACAGCCGTCAATCGCCAGTTGTCTGTGACTGTCAGGGAAACATTTAGACCTGAAAATGTACAGATTTTGGAAAAACGGCGTTCAGACCATTATCGGGGAACTCAGCAAATTCCATGACTAATAGCTATATGTAAAAGACATTAGCGACACCGCATTGGAAATTCCCACTAAGTTTTGAAGTTCGCAATAATGAAAAAGAAGCACGCTCTTTAATGCTCACATAATTCAGGATACCTAACTGTGAGAAAACGGAACAACAACTTAATAAAGTCGAATGCGCACTGTTTTCCGTTTTTATTTCACCTATACCGTCTGAATTTCAGCACAGTAGAATATAACTAGTAGGTATTAGTTGAAAATTTGCGTAATTGTCGAAATTTTATAATATTCTGATTTTTTTATGCCATTCATAATAAAATTTCCCAGGCAATTCCTTACAGATTATGTATTAGCTGTCGATATGGCCTTTTCTCACGTTCCATAATAAGATGGTCAAACAACATTTTCTATCTTTGCCCTTGAAGCCGATCAATTTGTTGTTCATTTACGTACCAATGCCTAACTGATGTAAGAAATGGATAAGTACTGTGTGCCTAATCGGCCTTTATCCATTCCGGATGCCTACGCCACCTCCGTCGGAGTCACGGTACATTAACAGACAGCAGCTCAGAGTGTATATAAAACATATTTTTCTAATTTAATGCTCCGATAATACCTTGCCCATGAAAGAGCATGATTTATTGGCAACAGGAATAAGCACAGTGTATATTATAAACATTAGTTAAAAGGTATCTTGATGGGACGATTTTTGATCCCAGAGTACGACGCTGTATTGGGTTTCATTTTTACAGTTGCCACTACAATGTACATCGACCCTGATTCAGGGGACTTTCCACAGATGACTGCGCCAGTTAATATGTGGTCCTAT